CCCTCTCTATCAACAAATTTACATACAACTTTTGGAGCCTACATCAAATTACCTGAGTCCTTCCTTTCTTCTGGAAGAACTGAGACAAGTTTTCTTTGTACCTCCCAAAGTATGTTGCTTATCCTACCATTTGATCATTTACTGATCAAAATTAGTATTCACTTATGGGTCTACAGATAACTACATATAATCTGTGGCCACCTTCCATAGATTGAAAAATCCATGAAAGAAACAAGCCAGGTTCATTCATCATGTGCTCCCAGCATCTACGTAACTGCCAGCACTCACAGGTGCTTAATGTAGATGGACTTGAAGACACAGTTATCACTTTTTCCACATTTCTCATTTATCACATTGAAATAGGAAAGGTGGTTTCCCCATGGCTATTTCAATGTGGTTGGTTAACTCTTGCCCAACATAACAGGGTGATGTCTATGTAAATTTATTTCCCAAGTTTAAGTCGGGACCTCATGGTTCTTTTTCCTGAATTTCACACAGCAGTCCGATGTTGGTTTGTCTTCCCTACTGGATATTCTCATTGGCTATAACTAGAATAATTTCTGACTTGTTTTCCTGGGGTTGAATTCACATGATGGGGTGCCCATTTGGTGAGTTGGGCATACATACAAATGTCTTGGTAGGTTGGAGCAATATTTTAAGAGCAAATGTGTTTAGATATGAAATAAAGTTTCTAGACGGGGAAGTTGTTCACTTGCTCAGCTACTTTACTCTTCAGCATCTAAGCCCTGAAGATAACCATAACATTTTTAAAGGGAAAAAAATCTACATAATTTGCCAAGAACAATTTATGGTAGTTATTTACAATGCTTCTCTTTATTATACTTTTACTCAATGCAGTGTTTGGTGTTTCTTTAGCCTGTAAAAAAAATCTTGGTGGGAGAAATGGCTTAAATGTCCATCAACAGGTGAATAGAACAAATTGAGGTATATCCATACAATGGAATACTACTCGGCAAGCAAAAAGGAGGAATAACTGATACATGCAACAGCATGTCTTACCTCAAAATAAGTATGCTGAAAGAAACCAGACCTCCCCCCACACCAAAAAACCAATTATATATGGTTTGATTCCATTTACATAAAATTCTAGAAAGTATGAACAAATCTAATAGTGACATAAAGCATGTCCACTGACTGCTCAGGGTTGGAGGAGGAACTGAAGAGGGGCCCAGTTTCTTTAAGAAGATTGGGGGTCATGGACATGTTCATTATCTTGATTTTATTGAGAGTTTCATCCATGTGTATGTTTGTCCATTGTCAAAACTTCTAAAATTGAATACTTTAAAATATGCAATTTAATGTATATCAATTATATCTCAATAAAGCTGTTTTAAAATAAACTGTCAGAAAGAAGACAGAGGTAATGGATGAGACAGAGAGAAGGGAGTCTGTTCTGGAGCTATCTTGACAATGCTATTTTAAAAGTGGTTTTCGGCCGGCACCGTGGCTCAATAGGCTAATCCTCTGCCTTGCAGTGCCGGCACACCGGGTTCCAGTCCCAGTCGGGGCGCCGGATTCTGTCCCGGTTGCTCCTCTTCCAGTCCAGCTCTCTGCTGTGGCCCGGAAGTGCAGTGGAGGATGGCCCAAGTCCTTGGGCCCTGCACCTGCATGGGAGACCAGGAGAAGCACCTGGCTCCTGGCTTCAGATTAGCGCAATGCACCAGCCGCAGCGCGCTGGCCGCGGCGGCCATTGGAGGGTGAACCAACAGCAAAAGGAAGACTTTTCTCTCTGTCTCTCTCTCTCACTGTCTACTCTGCCTGTCAAAAATAAATAAATAAAAAATAAAAAAAAAATAATAGTGGTTTTCAAGGAAAGGGAATGTTCCATATATAAAATACTTGCAAAACACCTCTCCAAAATGAAATTTTCCTGAAAATGTCCTTTTCTAAGAAGATAAGAATTGTGGTTTTGAAATGAGCAGCCAAATTGCAAGCACATGATTAATTATCATGGAAAATCATTGATGTATCATCACAATTTCACAGTATTTCTTACAGTGAAAATAGAGCTCATGAAGGTAATATAAAACTTTGATTTCTGTGGTAAAAACCCTTGGTTACCACCTTGGAAAAGAACTGAGTTAAGTACTAAAATACAAGCATACAACATTTGTTATTCTTTTAACATTTGCTTTTCTTTACAGTAAATTCCAGAGGGTTCTAGTGTTCTAACACATTATTAAACCACAGGAGACCAGCCCCCATGGGCCTGTACCTTTGTTCATTTCACATAAAATGATCATTCCTATACAGATGTGTAAAGAACCTGGGTAGCTGTCTCTACTGCTAGATGATCTTGTGAACACCACTTGCCCACTCATTAAGCAGCAGTAATGATTTATACAGGGTGAACCGAGGAAGGTGGATCCCTAGGCTTAGTCATATTTTTTATTTTATGGGAAGGCAGGCAGGCTTTCTTTCTTACTTCATTTTTGAGAAGAGTAATTTAACATTAGTTCAGCATAACAGTAGGGAAATATGATATAAAATACAAATGAGAGTATTGGTTCAGGAGGACAAGACCAATATTTGAGACAGAAAGTCTGAGTTCATTTGAAAGCTGCCTGACTCACAGACTCCATCTGGAGTAACAGACATGATGGACAACATAACAGTAACACTTACGGACTGTCCTTAAGTATCATCAGCAATCTCTACACACCAGGTCTTCAACAACTGCTAAACATTCTTATCCATAATTTCAGGAGTGAAATTTGAGATGTGACTTACACCTAGTGAACAAGCCTGGAGAATCATAGCCCCTCACTATTTGCAAAGCAAAGATAAAGAGGTGCTTAGGATATCTCTACTCCAACCAATATAATCAGATAAGACCAGGGAGAAAACTCATTGAAGAATCTCTAGGCAGAATCAGGTCTACTCCCTGAGACAACTACCTTGAGAAGGACTCTGCCGTGGGTGGCTACACTGGAGACCCAGAGCCAAGTGGATACTGATTCCCTCATTTTGGGGGAGAATGTCACGAGGCAGGTAGGGATACCTGCAATTCAGCATGGCCACCTGAAAGAGTTTCGCAGTGTATAAGGCTACACACGAAACAGCAGTTACCAGCTCTGTGCGGCAAACTACAGTGAAATATAAGGTAACTAAAAAATTCATTTCCTCAGTTGCACTGGCCACATTTCAAGTGCAAATAGGCACATGGTCTTAATAGCATCCCATGGGAGATGGTGCAAGACAGAACATTCCATCAGCACAGGAAGTTCCAGTGGATAGTGTTGGGCTAGAAAGAGATGGAGGCTGACACACGACTGACAAAAAAGGAATTCTGCAATACGGGATTTGAGAATGGGAGGGCACACTGGCCACAGAGGAGCTGCATCACTCACCTCCCACAGAGGAGAGAGACCTTGGTTCCTGCTCCCCGGGCCTGCCTGTCCATAAATAACCTAGGGTTCAAGTGCTCTTATGTCCCCATGCCCTGTGGGACCTCAAAAGCCAAATGTGTGTTTTCCATAAAATATTAAGTCAAGAAAATTAAGACAGCACACTTAATGTGAAATAAAGTTCATATACTCCTGTTTAAACACAGATTAGAATTTCTGTCAGAACAATGCCAGTGAAAAGTTGACATTCTAATTAATACAATTTACATTATAAAGCACTGAATATCTTTATCTTGCTATTATAAAATGTCCTCTTTTTAAAAAAAAAAAAAAGAGAGAGAGACTCTACTCAACAGGGATTTGAGTACTAAGGGCAGTATTTAAAAATCCCTGTACAAGCGAGGGGGTTAGGGTCACTGGCACTTTACACACCATCAGCCTCAAAACCTAAAAAATGCCTGCAGAGAGGAAAGCCACACTCCCATCCTCGGGCACACGGTTTCATCATTCTTTAGCTTCCACGGGCAGCAAGAAGATTCAGAAGCATTTTTTGTTTTGTTTTGATTTGTGTTTTTTTTTTTAATTATTTTTGCAATGGTATAAAACAAGCTGCAAAACACAGACATGCAAGAATTAAAACATTTCCACATTTCCTCTCTCCTTTCTTCTCTCCTCTCCATCTCTCCCTTGTCTCTCACTTAAGATCACAGAGAACACTTGTGAACTACCATATATGTAGGACTCCCATTCGATGTTTACTCAATCCAAATTCTGAGAGTGTAAGAGGGGCAGAAAATCAACCCCACAGTTGGGTACCCAAGAATTCATGTTCATTGCCTTTGTCAATTTGACGCTATCGGTGGAAGGAATAAAGATGAGATCCTTAAAGCCTGCATTTTCATTTCCTACGACAACGTGCTTTTGCTTCATGCTTTATCACACTCCAGCACTTGGTTTCCACCCCTTCATAATTGATATAGGCCATTCGAAGCATTCAGTAAAAACCTCATGAGGTTCATCAAATGTCCCTCAGTCTATAATTCTTGCTTCTAACATTCACAAGCATATTCATCCAAGTGTTTTCCACTTTCCCTCCATAGCTTTCACTGTGCACGGGATGAGTGTAATGACAGTTGTATTAATTATCTGCTGAAAAACCCACATAGCAGCAAAAATGATGGAGATCATCGTTTTAAATATTTTATTAAAATAACCCACTGTAGAAGAGATAAAGTAGACCCTCTTGATAATGAGAGGTTCATTAATTTTACAAGAATTCTAGAAAGCTTAGAATGGTCATCAAAATGGTCTCTCTCGTTTATTTATTATTTTTAAGAAAAGGAAAACCTTCAAGTGTTGCTTTAGAGAGCAAAGGTCTAGTAAAATTTCCTGAGGTATTTTTACAAATCCTTTCGGGAAAAGCTTTGAAAAAATAGCTTAAAATAAGAAGGATTTAGATTTTATAGAAGACTTGAAATGCCTGTAAATTTCAGCTTCATCATTTAGCCGTAAAAACTCCCTTTCACTAGTGTATGACTTTTGATAAATAAAATTGGTATTCTCCATAGAGAAACAAGCAGCGTGGTCAAATCCTCCAATTACTGGTAGCAAAAGCTGAACAATCTTGCCTACCAAGTGCGTCTCCAGGTACAGTTTAAGGCCGTCGGTCTCTGCTTTAGGGGGAGTCCAATTCTCAGTGGTTTCCATGGCTTCGTGTAACCACTGGATGAATTCATCTAGTTTGTTGACAAACCCCTTGTGAGAGAAAAGAAAAGGGGAGAAAACAAGAGGAAAGGCATGTTAGTTGGCTATTTTTCGAAAAGGCAATCTTAAGAATTCTCAGCGTCACCCATGATGAACTGAACACCACTGCACTCCCAACCCAGTTTGATCTTTGCTGTGATGGGATGTCCTGACCCGGAAATCTATCAACCTGGGAAAGGCACTGTTAACAACTCTTAGGAATTCTTTGCTGAGAACTTTGGTTCAGACCGCAAGGTGTCACTATGTGCATGTGACCTCAAAACAGCAAAATGTTTCCGGTATCTGACAAACTTCTCCTTGCCAAAAATTCAGGTTGGATGTGCTAGGAACACTCATTGGCTCTGGGAGATACAAGCCTTCCTGCAAAGATGGTGTTCTTAACTGGGAAGCCTATAAAGCTGAGTTGCCTTAGTTGGACTAGAAACACATTCTGAAATCACACAACTGGTTAAAGGTACTTGGATGGGCCCTACAGGCAGCCCAAGTGTCTGTCACTGAGCCTCTGCGCTAAGCAAGCAAGAGTAGATCAGTGGGATTCATGAACAAACGTAAACACCTCACTCCTGGTATGTCCAGACATAAAGAAATATCCTTGGCTAGGAAGCACAAATCACAATAATCTCTCAATTTTTCAAATAGTGGTTATAAAATTTTATTGACCATTTAAAAGAACACATCTGTAGAAACGGAAAATATCTTGAAAAAAAAAAAAAAACCGAAAGCCCAGCTACAGACCAAAGCAAAGCAAATGGGGCCGGGCTCCGTTTTTCATGTCTGGGTAAACAGCACCACCTGGAGGTCATAAGGAGCAAAGGCAGCTTTTTACATGAGTATTTTCAGAGTTGAGGCTATTTCCCTGTTAAACTTAACCCATTTGTCAGATTTTTCCTTTTGATTAATTTTGATTAAACTTTGTAATGCCTAACAGAATATATCCTGGGACTTCACTGAGAACAGGTGAGACTTCATTTTCTCTATCGCACTTCTCAGAAGCTAAGCTTTGTTATTAAGATTTCTCCTGGACAATATTTTAAAATTTATAACCATTTAATTCAAACAACTGCATTTGCCTCAAGTAAATTCTTAGAAAAAGAGAAAACAGAATTGGGGAGGGTGGCAAAGTAGGCAAGTGCTACTCAGAAACACATTCTTGTCTATTAAATGGGGAGAGGGCTGAGTTTTGGATCCAGAGGCCCACACTCAGACCAGACTACCCCACCAAGCTCTGGTGTGTTGCCAGCCTCCACGGAGCTCAGTGTGTCAGCCCGTGTGGGGGTGTATCATATGGTTTCCCATGTTTATAACTGGCACCCAAAGCTCTCCTGTCCAATTAGCTCTACTATGCCAAGTCTCAGGACAATCACCCCCAGAGATACACATCACAACGAGATTTCACAAATGCAAGACTTGCCATTTAGCATCCTTCTGAAAGTCCATCATAACTCTGGAGTTTTGGCAAAGCCAACAAGAAATGCCATCACAGAGACACCTTAATGGGGAACTGAAACCTACAGCTGAACTGGGACTAGGAGGTAGGTTAATGCGCTTCAAATCCTAGTCTCCAACCCTACACTGATGATACCACCAAGGCTTCCTTTAGTCCTCGCCTTCACCCAGGTGAGCTGAGAAGCTGTCCAGGGGAGAAGGTTGCCTGCATTTCAAACAATCTACTCCCTTACTGAGCACATTTACAGAGGGTCAATCCAAATCAACTGTTTTTCTCATTTTCTCATGTTGCAATCTTCTCCTAAATGACAGGAATTCTGCCAAATAGTTCATTGTGCCCCCTTAGCATACATTCAGGGTGGCAGTTTCTCGGTTTTTCTCCTGTCCTGCACTTCCATAAATGTGAGACTTGTTCTGCTGTTCACTTACTCCCACATCCTTGACTTGATGCAGAAGTTGCTCAGTTTCTCAGCAGAGCCTCCAACCAGTCCTAACATCCATCCCCAAATCACCCTTTTGGACATACTAGCTAAGGCTCAGGATGTTTCAAAAGCTCATCCATGACTTGATGTTCCCCGTAGATCCCTTCAGATGTGCCCAGAATGTCTACTTATGAGCGGAAGCAAGGGCAGAGTTTGTTAGATACTTTCGTAATTACGCTTTGTGAAGGATCAAGCAACACTTGGTTGAACACTGCCTATCATCTACATAGGCTAGTCAGAAAAACAGAGTCTAAATGGCCGATAAGTAATGAAACAAAAAGGGTATTTTATAGTAATTCTAGTGTCAAATATGAGTGTTTACCATTGAGTTTGGACTTGGGTTGTTATATACGTATATATGCATTGAGGAGAAAATTAAGTAATGTAAGAAATTATTTTGGAACTGATTATATCCAAAAGGACAAAGAGTAAATAAATAGAGCCAACAAATGAAACAACATGTATGTACAAGAATGCATGGGTACCTCTTCCCAGTCTCATCCAAGTGGTAATAAACAGCATGTGTCTGATTTCCTAACAGAACCATGATTACATTGTTAGCTGGACCCTTGGGTCCTGGGTGAACCTTTCTAGATGACTCTGTGTAGCCCAGCCAAACAACAATAACAAAAACAAAGTCTGATATGAAGGGGGAAGGGTTTTCAGAGTTCTCTGACTTTATTCTGAATTACATTTCCTATCCTAAGCAATTATTCACTTGCTGCATATTTTTCTCCTTTCTTGATAAAATAAAGAAACTTTTATCAATCACAACGAAAACCTGAGAAGTCCCAGGGTTCCTAACTTTTGATTAAAAAAACAAAACAAAACTAAGAATTCTTCCTTCTTAGAAGTATCTTAGCTTCCCACTTCCTCTCCTGATTCTATGTGCAACTTCAAGAATATAAACAGAAATCACCGAAAATGTGAAACTGGAGCCCATCCAATTCTTGATACCTTTGTCACCTGCTATTTCTCAACTTCTCTCAGCTCCCTTATCTGTGTATGCTCACTAGTGCTTTGTGTACAGTGCACTGCATACCATCCCTATATCACGGGATGCTCTACTTAGAAAGATTAAGAAAGGGCCACTCAACACACCAACAACACGGATGTCCAGGAGTATTTGGACACACACACCAAACAGCTGCTGTTCATTTTCACAAACTCTGCTGGGGTCTTTGTGATGTGAATGAGGAGAATGAGGCTGACACAAGGAATAAGAGGGAAATAGAAAAAATATAAAACACAATTCTCCTGAATTGCAGGTCAGATTTTAGCACAACAAATACTGACCATTCATTCAATAATTATGTGTCAAATAGCTACTAAGTCAAGGCACACTGAACATTGCAGGATGTTGCTGGGGATACAAAGAAAAGTATCAAGACAAAGGTTTCAGTAACAGATAAAGTGCACCTAAACACTCACCTGCTGAATTCAAATAATTTTCATTGTTAAAAAAAAAAAAAAAGAACTTTACAATAATGGGGTAGGTGTTGTGGTGAAGCAGGCTGGGATACCACTTTGGGATGAGCCAGATCTGGATTTTATAGGCATTTGGGAAGCATACAAGTAGATGGAAGCTTGCTCTCTGCCTTTCAAATAAATAAATAAATCTTTAAATACAGAATTTTATAACAAAAGGTTGGGACACACTCCCAGAGCTTGTAAAATGTATTCAGGCTGTATCAGACTTCTGTCTGTATTCAAATTCATTCCTATTATTCATAGAGACCTATCCATGTGTGTTTCTCTAACATGCAGACTTCATTCTTACCCAGAGGGTCAAAGGTAACTACAAAAATCAGATTTTCTCCATATACCCAATGCCATCAATGTGTTACATGGAAAGCACATTCAATGCACATTTGACACACCTACATGGGCTGAATCCCACACCACTGAAGGCCATCTGGGAGCTGTCATTGTTTAACTCCTGCAAGTCTAATCGGTTCAGTCTCCTTCTTGCCATGCACCACCAATTTCCTTCTTGTCCCTTTCTGATACTTCTTCCACTACCTTTCCTTCCTCTCTGCCTCCCTGCCAATCCATCCCAGGGCACGTGGTGGACGACCCAGTCCACAAGCCCCAAGCCTCCATGCCTCTTCTCGACGCCTGAGTCCTCTGTGTGAATCCCTTGCCACATCCATACTTGCTACAGGTTCTAAAAGCCTGAAACTCTCTATTGGAGCCATGCAAGGATTCGACCTCCAGAAGAAACCCCAGTCACCAATCCGGGGAGAAAAGGGAATAGCCCGTGGCCCCGCAATCACAGTCAGCACATCCTTCTCACTTGCAAATCATTTTCATCCTGGAAGTTCCCTCAGGAGGTCAGTTTTCTTTACAAGATTTCTTTATTTGAAAGGGAGAGTTACAGAGAGGCAGAGGCAGAGAGGTCTTCCATCTGCTGTTTCACTCCCCAAATGGCCACAATGGCTAGAGCTGTGCGGATCTGAAGCCAGGAGCTCCTTCTGGGTCTCCCACGCAAGTGCAGGGGCCCAAAGACTTGGGCCATCTTCTGCTGCTTTCCCAGGCCATAGTGGAGAGCTGGATCAGAAGTGGAGCCGCTGGGTCTCGAATTGGCACCCATAAGGGATGCCGGCACTGTAAGAGGCAGCTTCTCCCACTACAGCACACCACCACCCCTCGGAAGTATGTTTTCAAAAACTTATGTTTAAACTTTCTTAGCCGGCGCCGTGGCTCAATAGGCTAATCCTCCACCTTGCGGCGCCGGCACACCGGGTTCTAGTCCCGGTTGGGGCGCCGGATTCTGTCCCGGTTGCCCCTCTTCCAGGCCAGCTCTCTGCTATGGCCAGGGAGTGCAGTGGAGGATGGCCCAGGTGCTTGGGCCCTGCACCCCATGGGAGACCAGGAAAAAGCACCTGTCTCCTGGCTCCTGCCAGGATCAGCGCGGTGCGCCGGCTGCAGCGGCGGCCATTGGAGGGTGAACCAACGGCAAAGGAAGACCTTTCTCTCTGTCTCTCTCTCTCACTGTCCACTCTGCCTGTCAAAAAAAAAAAAAAAAAAAAAACTTTCTTAAGCATTACTCTCTTTCAAGAC